ATAGAATAGAATTGTATTTCAGAATATCAAAAGAGGTGTTGAACAGAATAATGAAGTAGGATCAAAATTTCGATTCACATTTCATTTTACAATGAAATTTTACTTTACTGGTCAAAATTAGTGAGAAATAAGACGAAACAGTAGAGTAGAAATGTTATGTTCTACTGAAAATCAGTGTATATTCAGTGATCATCCTTTAGTCTTGTAATTTAGTTCTTTTATTGATTCAATCAGAAACATTTTGACTGATTCACTTTAAGATTTTGCTGTTTTATCATGCTCCATGCGTAAAGTCAAAATTCATGATTCACAGGTTGACCAACATGAAAAACAGGCGAGACCTGCTGTGAAGTAGCGAAATCGGTTGCGGAGGAAATGGAAATGTACTTCCTGAGTGCAGCGGTGCGCGCGAAAAAAATCACGTAACAGTATGAACTATTACAGTGTACCGTACTGAATGTATTATTTTTACACGCTCTTTCTCTCTCTTTCTCTCTTTCTCTCTGCTTCTTTTCTCGTATAACGCATCATAGGGAAAGTAAGGAAAAGCCCGTCGCCGAGTTGCGCACGGAAACACGAAGTGACGCCCATGACATTGAGACAAAAGAGGTTTTAGCAAAAAGAAGAAGATAATAATAAAAATAAACAATAAAAACAGAAAAAAGAGACAAACGAGGAAATGCGTGAAAAGCAAAAGAGTAATCAGCTCTGTCACGTGATTGCCTGACGAAATTGCAACAGTCTCGCACACGATCGAATCGCGTTTCTTTTCATACTTTCTCTGACGCAATCATTTCCTCGCAACTGTAATGAATACGTTTCATAGACTTCCTTCCTATGACGCACCCGCGCGTGGATCGAACGAACGTCTCTCTCGTGTACAAAGTTGTCATTAAACACGGAGTCGTTTCCGCGAGGGAGCGTGAAGAAAACAACGGGAGATTTCTCATCAAGCATTCGTTCGCCGCCGAACTCGATTGATTGAATCCCGCTAGAAATTTCCTTTGATTTTCCCAGATACAGCATAGATTCCGATTGAGGCGCCTAAATTAATCTCAAAAGTAGTCATTCTATTATGACACCAATTGGGAATTCCATTCTTGACTCAAACATATATCGTTTCTGTGATGATCTAGAATTGAAATAGAAATATTATGGAAATAAAAACAAAATATAACAGTACTATAGAAACAGAAAAAAATATTCGCACTTTCTTTCAATTTGCAACGTTGATATATTTTTATGGTTATCAAACGGAAAATTCCATTTTTATATAAGTATATAATATACAGGGTAATTCAGAAATATTTATACAAATTTCGGGAGGTTCTACACACCTAAACAAGAAAAAATATCCGGAAATATATGGTTATAATCAAGTTATAATTGAAAGATTACATTCAATGCTGGTAATAGGAGTAACCTCAAACAAGTTGAGAATCCTAACTCTAAGAAGCCTATAGAGTCCCAAGACTCCAAACCTATAAAATCCTAATTAAAGAAAATTTTCTGAAGTCTAATTAGGATCTATCCTGATTTTCCAAAGAATTGAATTTGCGATTTCTAAGTGGGAAATCCAAACGCAGAAGGAAAGTTGTACAAAGAGTAAAACAAAGAAATGAAACGCAGAGAATAACAAAATAGTAATAAATATTTTTATAATTGTGGGATTTATAAAAATACATATATTCTTTTCAAAATGTTAGATTGTTATACGGTTATTTTTATAACTTACCGGTTGTTAATTGTAAATAATTATAATGCACTTAAATGTTTAATATAATGTTAAAGTTTTATATTTGAAGTAAAAAAATATATATTTTTTTTATTTAAGAATAAACTTTATTTACTCACGATGGAAAGGATACTAAGACAAAATTTCATGAGGCTCGCAAATTTACTTTGCTGTTACTAAATCAATTTTTTTTCTATTTTTTAACTGTAATATTATTTCGATTTTAATAAAACTCTCATAGAAAAATATTTATCTTCTAAAAGGACTATTTAACGATTTTGTATTAACTGTTCCTCTCAAGATAAATATTAAAAAAAGCACATGAGCAACATATCTCTGGAGCCAGTAGACCCAGTCTCTTCTTTAAAACTAGTTTGGATAATCTAATTGGAATTTATGCTATACTTAGAAATGTTTGGGAAATTTGCATACGAGTTGTAAGATAAAAGCATAAAGAGTACTGGAAAAAGTTTGGGTTTCCACTTGGAATCACGTGTTTGAAACATTGCATTTGTAACCGGAATCTATAATTATTTTAGGAAATAGAACTGGATTCCAATTAGTTCATAAGAAATTATCTATGCGGGATCCTCTTTACATGGGCTTTGGAAAAGTTAATTATCGACACCTATACTGGCGCTTTCACCTCTTTCAACATTATTTTTCCTGATGTTTAATTTCTTCCTCTCTTGCTCTTTTTCTTCTTCTTACATTGATCGCGCAATTATTATAATCGCGAATAAATGAGACAGGCAGATTATTGCTTTTCCAAATATTGAATTATCCCTGCGCGTGCCATCAGAAAGGCAATAATTATATACGGATTCTGCGTACATAAACACGGTGATAGTTTGCGAACTAGACGTGTACCATGCGCTGAGGATATTGCTTCCTCGAAAGTTGCTCACATAACTCGCATGTAACAGATATTTGATTAGCCGTGTTACTGGTGCCATGGTGCGGATGTGTTTGGTAAAGCACGCCTCTCGCTCGGTTCATTTAATTATGTGCCCCACGTACCCCCGTAATCTTGATCGTGCATGCAATTTCGCAGATATGCGACGACAGCCGTGAAAGCGGCAAAATTTTGCGTGCGACACTTCTCGCCGATCTCGGTTTATTGCAGCGTGCACGATTAAAGGTACATAAAATTGCTGACTCGGTGTCGGAAGAGGTGTCGTCGAAAATTGAATGCGATTGAAACGAGTGCGCGTTGTCTCTTGCGGTAACGATGTGTGAACGAGCGTGTAAGAGTTCCGACTCGTGGAAGTCGGAAGACATCCGTTGACGATCGCACAATAGCGGTTAATTGCAGATCGATGGAAGCGAGTCGAGTGGAACGAGTGTGCACGACGTTCGCGTGAGTGTAAAGGAACATTTTCTCTTTCGCAAATCTAAACGAAAGGAAAGTCTCAGGAAAGTAAGAACTATCACACGATTTTGGGCATAATAATTCAAATGGGGAGATAATAATTGTTTGTCAGAGTAATGTACGTGCCGATATGGTTCTCGGATTTTGTAACGTATGCGGTGCACTAATTAGGTAGCTAACCGTTCCACACACGATTCTGCGTACAAATTTATTAACCTCCTTACGGATTATTAATTAAAATCAGAAGAAACGATCTGATGTTAAAGTGACATAAAAATAATAACATATGTTAATCATATGAGAGAGAAAGAGAGAAGACCTTCCTTCCTCTAGTATAATTAAGATGAATGTTTATTCACAATAAAATGTCCGTTATATGTTATCAATAATGTCTCAATTATAAAAGAAAAATTGCACCTAAAACCGAACCTAAGAATTGTATTTAAATGGATACACATGTGTCAGTACACATGTTGAAAAGATTAAGGGAGTGTCAAAGTGGATGACGAATTGTTGTCGATAATGTAGCGGTGATAGTCGAAATGTTATATTAAATGTACATTCATATGATTATGCTATTGTTTTTGTATTTCTTATACACACACACATATATATTTTTTTTTATATAAAAATATGTGCTGCTTTACGTTATCATATTTAGCAAAAAACATAACTACGCATTTTTAGAAATATTTCTGTTAATCTGTTAATCTTTTATTAATTAATTACAACATCAATATTCACAATAATAGAAATCAGTGCTTATAATAATAAACTATATTTTTTCGAGCTAATAATGATATACATGTGCTAACAAAACTGCAATTAAATTGAATAATTTCTTTCTAAAATAGACAAATATATATTTTTATCTGTTGAATAAGAGCGATAATTTTTGTCTTTGGTAAAATTAATAGATTTGTTTCGTAAACTTAAATTATCTTGACATACGAAAAGATTTGCTGCAATAATTAAGATAACATCCACAAAAATAAGTTCATTCTATTAGTAGCTATATGACGATTATTTGCACACATAATTATTGTACTACTCAAGCAAATCTATTTGATTTTGTAAGAGAAGCGAAAAAATATTTGGAGCAAGCAACTGAATCAGACATCAAATCCGGGTGACTACTTCGCCAACTAAGCTACCCAAACCTACACACTTCGATACGTCTTTCTCCTCTCTCTCTTTCTGTCTTTCTCTCTTTCAATGGTCTTTGTTGTCAAGAGGATAATTCCTATTGCAACTTTTGTTACAATTGATAACATTTAATTATTCATACCAGTGATAGATAACTTCCATTAAATTTGCTGAATCATCTATAAGAAGCGATGTAGGAAATGAGAAGAATTATATTGAAGCGTGGTAGATTGCAGCCGAGAATCGAATCCGAGATCTTTCACTTGCCAACCAATCATCTATCAACTAGCTAACTAAACTATTTCAATACTTCTTTTACTCTCTTCTTAAAAAGTTCATTTATCATATATTTTCAAGGCTAAGGAACATATTTTCAATGGCATCGAGGGAAATATTACTTATTGAACAAAATTATATTTTTAAATATTTATTTTATTATCTAAACAATAGGTGTTAATTTGAAATTAATTTCATAATACTATTCAAGTCGAAATTTTGGTCCTACGTTAAACTTTGAATTCTACAACGCAGTAAGAGTTAAGTTAGCTTAATTCTAATAATACAATTTACTTCTTCTCTGATAATGTCCAAAAATTTTTTTCACTTTTTTTAGCGTCAAAATAAATTGTATTATGAATTCAAAATATCAAAATAAGTGTTGAATGGAATAGGGAGGCTAAAAGTGGGACCAAAATTTTGACTCAGGTAGGTAAAAAAGAAGGTAGGTAAAAATTTTGACTCGGGTACCTTGCCACATTGTTTCATTCAGTGCTACTCAAAGCATAAAACAATAGTTTTCTGGCCCACTTCACGGTGGTGTGAATACTCTTCTTTCTTCTATGGCACGTTTCCTAATACGTAACATTTATAACTAAATTTTTTATTTGAATGATATTACTTTTTACGAAGTTTTATGGTTTACGGAAGTTATTTTACGGAGTAATGGTTATCTATATTGCTTCTACCATGGGCGTGTCGAGCTCTGGTTTAAATGAATAAACTTATTAAGAAAATGTTAGTTGCCAAAGATATTATCAGAAGATGTCGTCAAGAAATGGTATAAAAAAATGTCATCAAAAACTTACAAACTGATATTGAAGTAATAAAATATTAATTCTTTTCTGTAATGTTTAAATCGTATCGATTGCACGGGATTAAAAATACCTTTATGCATAATAAAAGTACGTACAAAAATGAAGTGAAGCTTCAATATAAAAAAGAAACACAATTAAAACGACAAAATTAATGCAAAAAGAATATTAAAAAAGATTTGTTACCAATTGGTGCTTAAAAGTATAAGTAAGAGAAATAGTATTTTTTCTTTTATTTTGACCTCCTGAATACGATAATGCAATTAAAAAGTTAGTGGTACTTGGGGATCACCTTGAAAATTGAACAAGAACATATTGTATCTACAAAAATTCTATTTATTTATGGAAATATTATGAAACACATCTGTGTGAATTTGAGGGAGGGAGTAGGGCTAAGAACGATGTTTTGTTATCTGTGAGGGGAGAGGAAAGCTTAGTTAAATTACATTAAGATGGATCAAAGGAGCTACCACAAAAATGCGTCCCCCACACCCGTATATATATTTACATACGCAATTGTACTTCCTCTTATACGCACAAAATATTCCTCCTATTTACCATTTTCTCTCTCGCCATCAAACTCACACTGATGTGTTTTGCGATAGCTCCATAAATCAATCGAATTTTTATAAGTATGTCATGTTTTTATTCGATTTTGAAGATAATCCTGAAATACCATTAACTTTTTAATAGTTTTATCATATTCAGGAGGATAAAATCTATGAAGAAATATGACGTTTTGTCATCTTTACATTATCGACATTTTTTAAGCTCGTCATTCAATTTTACGTTAAATTAATAGTATACTTTCTTTTCTTCTAATTCCCTTAGAAATAAATGAAAAAATAAATTTTTCTTATTTTCATTAATGTTGCGAAAAATAACGCTTCACCCACACACATTCTCTCGCCCTCTTTCTCCCGTGATTCAAATACTCGCGTGACCATCGACGCATAACTGGTTCTCATCGATTATTACCATCTCCGTAAGACATATACGTGGATATCGCGGTGCTATATATGGCCGAGAAAGTTTTCGAGCTGTACGATGCCCTTCCAGAGCGCGGGCGCGCGCCGCGCCGCAGAGTAGCCGCTCCAAAAAAGTGTCCGTGACCTTCCTTTTGCACGTGCGCGTTTAAGGTGCGACGGTATCGGCGAATGCACCTTGCTTTTAAAAGGACACACGCGATCGCCGTGTGGATTCGTGACGCGCGCCTTCGCTGTTCAACGCGAATCGATCTGTCGTACGCGACGAAAGAGGTCGTGTATGTCTCGTATGAGTCGAGATTTATTCGTATACATCTGCATCTCATTATGCAGAATGTTCAATATCCTCGTGAGATCTCCGTGAAAAACGAATTCAATAATCCGCTGAATCTTTCACGTATTGGCACTTCTTAGTAGAAAATTATCTTTACACTCGGAACAGAGAAGACACGCTGGTGGTAACTATATAGCTGACAACTATACGAGTTTTGTTTATATAGTATTAGATATTTAATATTAGAATGAGTTTTATACATGTAGTATTCGTAAAAAATAATACATATAGTTTAAAAAACTATTTTGTATACTGAGAAATTAAATATGTAAAAAACATAAAACATTTATTCTGTAGGTACTAATAATATATTTATTTAAAACTAAATTCTTTTACTTAAATATAATAAACAATTGCTTTTATGCTAAAGTTTTAAAAATAGGCAAGACTGAGGCTAATCGTCTATTGAGATAAGTTAGCAAAATCGATTATTTCTACTGTTCTTTAATAGATTTCAGAATCAAGCAAACAGAGATTACAAAACCATCTTTGACATGTTCAAAAATTTTGTCTGCTTAATTCTGTGACTTGTTAGAAAATAACATAAATAATCGCTTTTTGCCAACTTATCCCGGTAGCCAATTAACCACGGCCTCCACTATGTACATTTTCTTATTTGAAAAATATTTGATATTAATATGAGTAAATATGTTATTAGTATCGATTGAATAAATACCGATTGAATACTTTTTACTTTTCGAATATTTTTTTTCTCGTTATAGTTATTGTGCAATCGCAGAAAAATTATTATAAGAACTATATAGTTCCTGTAACTATTTAATTTTAGTTATAATAACTCTATAAATGGATTATTAAACTATGTACATTAATTCTACATGCAAAACTCGTATAGTTGTCGCTTGTAGTATATAGATAGTCATAACGACGTATTTTTTTTAAGTATAAAAATTTGTTTTTCTTTTCTGGAAATCTTATGATCATGAATCTCATGATTCTCATGAATCTTATGATTTTGACACGTTAATGTTATAGTTATCTTTTAATTATTAGAAGAAAAAGGAAAATGTGAGTACATCTGCTCGATCGATTGCAAGTATCATTTTATAGGTACATATTTTTATTTCTATGTATTTAGCAAGAATTATTAGAGCACACATATTTTCTCGCCACCTTATCAATTGAGAGTTCCGCGGCGAGTGATCAGGAGCATTAAGAACAGAAGGTAAGATATAATAAAGCGTTGGGTTTGGATAGTTTAATTGGTAGAACGGTTGCCCGGCAAGAAAAAAGTCCCGGGTTTGATTCCCGGCCCAGAGTCTTATCACGCTTGATATATTTTCTCTTAACTCTTTTTCCAGAGCTTTCTTAAAAAGTTGATTTAATAAATTTATACAATGGTATAGCTTTACGTGGCAAAATTATTAGTATAGTATCGTATAGTATAGTATCGTATAGTAGTTATATTAGTGAGAGAACTGTAAGAGACTATTAAGCTCTGTAAAAAACTCTTTTAACAATTAAGATTATATATAAAAAGGAGGTATTGAGAGAAAGAAAGACGTATCAAAGTGTGGTTTTGAGTAGCTTAGTTGGCAGAGCAGTCGCACAGATTCGATTATTTACTGGTCTATCGCCTAATATATTTTTTCTCTTTTTTTACATAATCAACCAGATTTGCTGGTGCAGTAAAAAAATTACGTATACAAACTATCGTCAGCTTGCTTATATAATAAACTTATTTTTTAAAATATTATTTCAGCAAGGATATTATATTTTATTGCTGCGAATTACTTCATATTCAATTAAAGTTAAGTCAAATTAAGGGAACGCTATACTTGAAAATTTTACCGAGAAAATATTAATCTTTTTCTCTGCAAAGTTTACATCGCTTTGGTCACACATAATTGCAAATAGTTTTATACAATAAAAATAAATAATCAATTAGAGCATTTTCGAATATGTGACGAAAATGATAAAAAATTTCAAAATTAAAATCTCGAGTTGTCAGTTAGTGCAAATCTTTGTCTGGTACAATAATTCTACAGCTTGTATACAGGGTTCCCAGAACATCATAATCAAACTTTGCGAGGACATAGAACGGATTGAGGTGAGCAAGAAAGTCCTGCGCCGTTTTGCGATATTCGCAATAGTTTTTCAATAGTCGAGTGATTTCAGCGGTTCGAGCGCTCAACCCTTTTTCACGCAATTTTCTACAATTCATTTCTCGAAAACTATTGCGAATATTACAAAACAGGACAAGACTTTCTTGCTCGCCTCAATCCGTCCTACGCTCTTGCAACATTTGATTATGGTGGTCTGGGACATCCTGTGTACGTGTGTTTGCTCCACTTAAGAAAATTTCAAAAGACACTGATGCACCATTTGCTATTACAATAGAATTTATAATTATTACATATTATTTATTCTTTATATTTAATTAAAAAATATACGAAGAGAGAGAGAGAGAGGGAGGGAGGGAGGGAGAGAGAGAGAGAGAGAC